ATAGAGGTTGTGTGTGTGTGTGTGTGTGTGTGTGTGTGTGTGAGAGAGAGAGAGAGAGAGAGAGAGAGAGAGAGAGAGAGAGAGAGACCGCGGGGTGGTCTGATTCTGCATAAGTCACAGGGAAAGTTGCACTCGGTGTGATAAGATTGTGCGTGTGGATGGGTAAAAGGATACGTAAAATCCGAACTGCAGGGAGTGACTCTCGATGCATTCCTTGGGCTGCACTGCGTACAATTAGGCTGGGGCAGATTGATCAAAAAGGGCAGCAGAGTTATGCTACTTGCTGTCAATTTGCTACATCCATCAAACAGGTTATACGTACATGTGTATATTATATATCTTACCTCGCAGTTACTTTCCAATAATTGTAAGTGCATATTTCTATGTGGGTGTCTTTGCACTGTTCGTCGTTTGCTCACTGTATGTTACCCACCGTTACTTTGTTTAGATGATTTCAAAGGATAGGTGGGATCTAATGAATCAGAGCTGGTTTGAATCCTGTGTACTAAACCGGGAATGCAGCAATGTTGATTAGTGGTTTCGGTTATTTAACCGAATAATCTGGCTTTTTTCCCCCAATACAAAAGCAAAGAACACAGAGTCAAGTACTGAAGGGACTGAAACGCCAAGGTGCCTGAACTAAAACGCAAGAAGCAATTAAAACTCCTCCTTTCGGATTAACAACCAAAAATTGATCGATCTGTCAGGAATACTGTTGATTTATGAAAGGTGCTTATTTCCTTGGTATGGAGAATTTTATGTTCTCTAGGTGAAACTGAGTTCACCCAGCTCCAGAGTAGATTGATGTTTTAATAAAAATAAATAAAGGGAAAAAGCTAGCCTGGTCTTTGGGGACATCAACTCTCAAATCGCAGAGTTAGACTAACAAATCAAATTGCATTATCTTTACATTTCATATCTTTTAATCTAATGTCTAAAAATTGCAGGCAGTGCTAAAGCCTTTATTATTTTTAAAGTTTTAATATAGTGTTTAAAAGTTCAAATAACAAGTAATCAATGTTTCATAACCAAAATGGCACAAAGAAACATTCAAGTAATTTTTATAAGTGACTTAAACAGCAATCAAAATATAAAAAGGGTGTTATGTGAAAAACCCGGGTTTTGCCATTCCTGCTGTAAATGCAAATGAAAGTGTCCTGTAGATGGCACACCGTCCCCACTCTAGAGTTGTAGCAGAGAAAGGAGTTTGCTAAAGAGGGAAATTTTGTAGAGAGAAATGTCGATCTCAGCACTTGTTGTTTACCTAAACTAGAATGTATTTATTTCCCAACAACTACTAAATTGATTTAAAAATAAACTTCAAAAACAAGTTACATGTTTAGCAATCAGAGCTGAATTGAAAACTAACTGTTCAGCTAGTCACCAAGTGTGTGATCTGTGCTTCTAGACAACATTTACAGTGGAATTAGAAGTCCGTTTTGAAACGAAAAATACCAGAACAACACAAGGTGATCATGTATACGCAAATAAATGGTCAGCCTCGTCTTGTGCAGCTGGACCTGCCTAACTGTTACAAAGACTGAAAGTTCAAGCGTTCTCATAAATCAGCTTTGTGGTCAAATGTATCTATCCACCACACAGGCTGGACAGCGCTGACAGAACTCAAACAGCAGACAAACGCTTGGACACGTTTTTCTTTGCAATGTAAATTTCAGCGGGACAAATTGCTTATTAATAGTCTAGAAGAGAAGCCAGTTTCTTTCTTTCTTCTTTTCTTTATCTGTTTTTATTTCTGCATGGCCCCCAGCTATGCTCTGGGCAGCCTAACCGCCCAGCAGTTTTCTCTTCATTTCAATATCCTAAAGAAAATGCAAATCACCACAGTGTGGCCTTTTAAAAAAAGTTAAATTAGCAACAGCTTTAAGTGACTCCATTAGTATGGAAAACATACAAATGTTTAATGTTGGAATAGCTTTCTTTTTTAGCAGTATGTATTCTGGTCTGTACATTTAGCAAAGGTTCTGATTTAATAAAAAAATCTCATCTTGGAAGAACCCGGAGTAAAACAAGTAAGTGACATTTACCAAGGTAAACTGTCCAATAGCCATTAAATTGTATCTCTAATAGGCTTTGCAGAGAAAGACTGCCGTGCAACTTTGCAGATCATGGACTTGCTTTTAAGGTTTTAATTATTTAAAAGACAGTTATTGCTCACAAAGAAATTCTAAGTATATGAAAAGCTCTGGTGCTAAAAGAAGGGGGCCCTTGTGCGCATTCTTTTCCAAGGGCAGGAGTATTATCTTCATTCTTTGACTTACTGTCATATTACTTTAGTGTCCCCCACCAGTTTATTTCATTACTGGAGCTGGCTGACCTATCCATAGGGCCGGGCGTTTGCCCACTGCACGACTTCCTTTATGTTGACGGAAAAGGAAATATACATCCTCCATAATGGTCTGGAACAGCTATTGGACATTTGGCTTTGGCTGCAAAGTAGTTGTTCATAGCTGAAACTTTTGTTAACTTAGTGTAACATTAGTAACTGTCCAAAAATGAGGCTGCCAGGAGATGCAGGACTTTCATTTCTGAATTAAACGGACACACTTTTTATTAAACGTTATCATTGTGCCATGAAGATTT